GGACGGTTGGTGAGGAGTTTTACCCAGAATGCACTTGGAGAAAAGTGCTTGTAAATTTGCTCGTACTAAAGTTAAACATTTTTATTAAACATTTTTCTTTTGTTCAATATGTCAACCTGCTGTTTCACTAAAGTACAGAAGAGCTTTGTTTATACTTAAAAAATAGACACCTTATCTCGGAATTATTAGAAAATATCTCCTATTGCAAGATCAGGATGTCTTAATTATGTGAAAAGATTTCCTAATTATGAAATATTTTTGCCTAATTACAACATGCGAGCATGACAACAACAACTCAAACATGTCAGCTTCTCTGTTGCACAGGCCTACATAAACCTCATAAATAACTTAGTGATTCAGGGTAGGGCCTTTATGTGGGAAAGAGGAAGCTTATTCCAGCTTTAATCATCCCCGCCACACCCTGAATCACCAACATCTGAGGAAAGAACAGATTTATCACGAGCTTTATGAGAACCATCTCCTCCTACACATTTCTGTGAGCTGCTTTTAAAGGACCAACCAGGATAAAACTGACCAAACATCTCCACTTTGGTCTCTATGTCCCAGAACTAACACTTTCTGCGTTTTTCCCTCCAGATCAGCTTTAATTTCCACTAAATGAGCTCTATTACAGCTATTATTACAGTGAGAAGTTTTATTAATAATCCTTCTAAAAATATAGGCTCATTTTCCACTAAAATAGTGAAAACTTGGTAGATTTTCCATGAAAAACTGAAATAATCTACATAAATTAATTTGGATATCAGATAAATAATAACAAAATAATTTAGAATATGCCTATTTTAAACTTTGAATTTCTGCTTTTTCCCTCCAGAATCAGCTCTGATTTCCACTAAATGATCTCTGTTCCAGCAGATGTTACAGAGAAGGTGGAAATATGTGTTCAGGGGCTAGAGACGGTTTCAATGAGAAGGAAGGACTAAAAAATGTGGGGGTGGTTTCACAGATAAGGTAAAAAAGTCAAGTCAAATTGATTTGAATAATATATTCAAATCATGCAAAAACAATTCAAGGATCATATGTGAGCTAAAAACAGCAGGTAGCAGAGAAGCATCAATAGAAAAGGGGGACAGGCGTTGAGAATTAGCCTTAGCTAAAATGTTGTAGTGTGTGACATGTTTGTCAATGTCAATATCAATGTCAAATTTATTTATGTAGCACTTTAAAACAGGCATAGAACTGCACTAAAGTGCTGTACAAGAGTGAAAACAACACAAATGAATAAAAACAAAGTATCAAACACTAGTTCAATTAAATGCCAAGGAATAAAAATGAGTTTTAAGAAGCAATTTAAAATGATCCAGGCTGTGGGCAGATCTAATTTGGAAAGGTAGATCTCAAGTATGGGACAAGTATGCTTCATGAAACATACTTGTCCCTGTTAAATAAACGAATAAATAAATAAATAAAATAAAAGCAGCTGCAGATCTAGTGAGAAAGGAACCTGTTGCTTGTCACATTCCCCTGTCCACTCGGCTAACCACGATCTGGTTCGATTGGCCCCCACAGCTCTCGTTTCTGCAGAAACCAACCACAGAATCAGTTTCCTGCACCTGTGGGGGGGCAGGAAGTGAGCGTGGTGGAAACAA